TATCTTTGGCTTTGATTTGCATTTCTCTGATGATTAGAAATGTTGAGCAACTTTTCATGTGCCTATTAGCCATCTGTATATCTTCCTTGTAAAAATGTCTATTCTAGTTTCTGCCCATTTTTCAATTGGGTTATTTGGTTTTTTGATATTGAATTTTATGAGCTGTTTATATATTTTGGATGTTAACCAAATTGGTCATATGATTTGCAAATATTTTCTCCCATTCAGTAGACTGTCTTTTCATTTTGTGGATGGTGTCTTTTGCTGTGCAAAAGCTTTAAGTTTAATTAGGTCCCATTTGTTTATTTTTTCTTTTGTTTCTTTTGCCTTAGGAGACTGATCTGAAAACATAACACCATGATTTTTGTCACAGAGTGTTCTGCCTATAGTGTTCTGCTAGGAGTTTTATGAGTTAATTTTTGCATATGGTGTGAGAAACTGTTCTAATTTCATTCTTTTACATGTAGCTGGTCAGTTTTCCCAGCACCCCTTATTGAGGAGACTGTCTTTTCCTTTGTATATTCTTGCCTCCTTTGCCATAGATTAATTGACCGTAGGTTCATGAGTTTATTCCTGGGCTTTCTGTTCTACTTAATTGATCTCTGTGTCTGTTTTGGTGCCAGTACCATACTGTTGTGATTTTACTGTAGCTTTGTAGTATCAACTGAACTCAGGGAGTGTGATACCTACAGTTTGTTCTTTTTTTCTTAAGATTGCTTTAGCTATTCAGGGTCTTTTATTCTGTGAAAAATATCATGGTTATTTTAATATGGGTTGCATTAAACTTGTAGATTGCTTTGAGTAATATGGACATTTTAACCGTGTTATTTCTTCCAATCCATGAACACAGGATATCTCTCCATTTCTTTGTATCATCAGTTCCCTTCATTAGTGTTTTATAGTTTTCAGAGTATAGGTCCTTCACATGATTAGTTAAGTTTATTTCTAGGTGTTTTCTTCTTTTTGATGCAATTTTATATGGGATTTGATTTCTTGCCTTTTCTGATAATTTATTATTAATGTATAGAAAAACAATAGATTTCTGTATATTAATCTTTTATCCTGCAACTTTACTGAATTTATTTATTTGTTATAGTAGTTTTTTGTAGCATCTTTAGGATTTGATATGTATAGTATCATGTCATCTGCAAACAGTGACAGTTTTACTTCTTTCTAATTTGCAGTCTTTTTTTTGTCTTTTTCTTCTCTGCTGTGGCTAAACACAGATGGTGAGAGTGGGCATCCTTTTTATTCCTGATCTTAGAGGAAATGCTTTCAGCTTTTCACTGTTGAGTATAATGTTGGCTGTGAGTTTTTCATGTATGGCTGTATTATATTGGTGTATGTTCTCTGTATACCCACTTTGTTGAGTTTTTGTTATAAATGGGTCTTGAATTTTGTCTAAAGCTTTTTCTGCATTTATGGAGATGATCATATGATTTATACTCTTCAGTTTTTTTATGTGGTGTATCGTGTTACATCAAATACAATTTTTTGTTTCCTCACTTTCAGTGTGTATGTCTTTAGATCTGAAGTGAATCTCTTGGAAGCAGCATATGTATCATTCTTGTTTTTTTTTTACCAAATTAGTTGCTCTGTGTCTTTGTTGCTATTATGTTAATTGTTTTCCTGTTGTTTTTATAGTTCTTCTTCATTCCTTTCTTCTCCTTTTGCTCTCTTTCCTTGTGATTTGATGACTGTCTTTAGTGTTACATTTGGATTTCTTTTTCTTTTTTGTGTATCTATTACTGGTTTTTGATTTTTTTAGTTACCATGATGTTCATATGTAGCAACATACATATTTGCATATATATATATAATCTTTATTTTAAATTAATGATCTGTTAAGTTTATACTCATTCTAACCACAGTACATTTTACTGCCCTCCCCCCAACATTTAATGTTTTTGTTGTCATATTTTACATCTTTCTGTTTTGTGTATCCCTTAACTACTTATTGCAGGTATGGATAATTTTTTTACCTTTATCTCTTAACCTTCCTCTTAGCTTTGTAAGTGGTTGATCTACTACCTTTAATGTATGTTTGCCTTTCCCAGTGAGACTTTTCTTTTCATAATTTTCTTACTTCTAGTTATGGCCTTTTCTTTTCTCCTTAGAGAAGTCTTTTTATCATTTCTTGTAAAGCCAGTTCAGTGCTGAACTCTTTCAGCTTTTGCTTATCTTTAAAATGCTTTAACTCTCCTTCAGACCTGAATGATGACATCGCCAAGGAGAGTATTGTTGGTTGTAGGTTTTTCTTTTCATCACTTTAAAGATATCATGCCATTCCCTTCTGGCCTGCAATTTCTGCTGAAAAGTCAGCTGATAGCCTTATGGGAGTTACTTTATATGTAACTAGTTGCTTTTCTCTTGCTGCTCTTAAGATTCTCTCTTCATCTTTAATTTTTGCAATTTTAATTATAATGTGTCATGGTGTAGACACATTGGGTTCATCTTGTTTGGAAGTCTCCATAGCTTCCTATACCTATATCTGTTTCCTTCTTAAGGTTAGGGAACTTTTCAGCCATAATTTCATTGAATACATTTTCTACCCCTTTTTCTTTCTCTGCTCCTTCTGGGACCCCTATAATGTGAATATTAGTATGCTTGATGTTGTCTCAGAGGTCTTTCTCAATCTGTTCTAATTTTTAAAACCCTTTTTTTTGTTGTTGTTCAGCTTGAGTGATTTCTACTACTCTGTCTTCCAGATCTTCCAGATCTCTGATCAGTTCCTCTGTATCAGTTCCTCTGAATCAATCTACTGTTGATTCATTCTAGTATATATTTTTCTTTTAGTTCTTGTATTCTTTAGTTCTCTTTGGTTCTTCTTTGTATTTTCTAACTCTTTTTTGAAATTGTCAATGTGTTCATCCCTTTTTCTCCCAAGTTCAGTTAACATATTTATGATCATTATCTTGAATTCTTTATTGGGTCAATTGCTTATCTTTGTTTAGTTGCTTTTCTTTTTTTTTTCCTGAGGTTATGTCTTGTTCCTTCACTTGGAACATTTCCTTCATCTCCTCTTTTTACCCAATTCTGTGTTTTTTCACTCGGTGTTAAGTACGTCAGTTACTTCTCCCCATCTTCAGAAGTAGCCTTATATAAGAGACATCCTTTGGGGCCTGGCAGCATGCACCCCTTTGGTCACCAGAGCCCTATTCCTAGGGGTGCCCCCTATATGGGCTGCATGTACCCTTCTGTTGCGGTAGGGTCAACTTCCATTGGGGAGCTGGTATGTGGGGCTGAACCCCAGCTTAGTTGGCTGTGGTGCCTCTTGGCACAACTTGCAGGCCTGCTGGAGTGCAAGGTAGGCTTTTCTCGTGGTTGTCTATTTCAACCTATGGGATGTGGGGCTACTGCCATCTGCTGGTAGGTGGGGTAGGCTTCTCAAGTGGTTCATTGCATGCCTAGCAGGGCTCAGGGCTGATGCCAGCTTGCTGGAGGACAGGCCTGGTCCTTGGCACTAATAAGCTAGAGGGAGGATTCTGAAATGGTGCTTGCCAGTGCTGGTGTTATTGAGGTAGAATGAGCTGCCAAAAATGGCTGCTGCCAGCTTTTCTGTCCCCAGGGGGAGTCCCAGTTGCTTCTTGCCTGTCTTGGAGGCTCTCCAAGAGCAGCAAGTGGGTCTGAAACAGGCTCCTTTCAAACTAGTGCCTCTGTGCTAGGACTCAGAGCATGTGAGATTTTGCAGACAACCTTTAAGAATGGAGTCCCTATTTCCTATTGCCCTTGGGATCTCTCCCATATGCAAACCTTGCAGGCCTTGATTCAAAGCCAGACATTCTGGGAGCTCATCTTCATGGTGCAAGTCCCCTGCCTGGGAGCCCAGTGTGGGGTTCACACTCCTTGCTTCTTGTGGAGGACCTCTATAATTGTAATATTCCTCTGGTTTGTGGGTTGCTGACCTGGAGGTGTAGGTCCTGAAGTGCATCTCCAGCGCTGTTGCCTGTCTCATTGTGGTTCCTTCTTTATGTCTTTAGTTGTGGAGTATCTTTTCTGCTGGTCTTCAGATTGTTCTTACAGGTAGTTGCTCTGTAATTAGTTGTAATTTTGTTGTGCCTGTGGGAGGAGGTGAACTCAGGGTCTTCCTAGTCCAGCGTCTTGGCCACCTCTTCAGTGCTTATTCCTGATATTGTTTTTAATTGTGAATATTTTTGGGATTTAACTGTAAATTTAAGTAGATAGCTATATCCACACAAACTGTAAATTTAAGTAGATAGCTATATCCACACACAAACTCCTAGTTTCTCCTCTTATAGTGAAGTCTTAAAAATTTGCATAATTTTGTAAAGCAATTAATAAATAAATTTATTAATTCATTAATTAATTCTCTTACATAAAATTTTTCTAGCTAAAACCTAGCAAAAAATTGTAGAAAATAGGATCAAGCCTCGTTGAAGAATATTTATGGTTCTTATAAACACCTTTTCCTCTCTACATATATACTAATTGACCTTTTTTGTTTTTAGACAGTTTGTGTAAAATGAAAAAATAGTACCAGCTTGTAGGTAATACATGTAATGTAAATAAATAGAACTTAACCAGTGCTGTAAAGCCATACAGAGGTTATTTCTCTTTTCTCAGCCAATGAGGGAAGGAAGACCTGATTAATAGGCATCAGTTTAACTTCCGTATCATTACCAGGTCATGTATTTCTTTTATTCTTGCAAAATTTGTGCTGTTTCAAGGGCTTTGAAGGCATATAGCTTTCTCAGGTGAAGGATAAAGTGTCGCTCATTCTACCCTTTGGTAAGCTTAATCTTTGAGGTATAGCAGTCAAAATTGAGACTTATGCAATAAGTTTCTGGTTATTGAAAGATATCTTCACGGATTTTAAATTTTTAAATAGTGAATATCTTTAAAATATTAAACTATAATATATTACTTATGAGCAGGTTTATTTTATTAACTGTTAGCCATGTTAACCTATGAGGGGCTCATCTTTCAGAACTGAGAATAAATAGCAATAACATTTCACCTTTGCGTCTTTTTTCCCATAGGTTTATTTATGTTTACCCAACTTACGATCTCTTACTGAAGGGCACTGCTTGATAGTCCCTTTGCAGCACTATAGAGCAGCTACCTTATTGGATGAAGACATCTGGGAGGAAATTCAGGTCAGCATGATAATGCTCATGATCATTGTAATGATCAAGAGCAGTTTTTACACACTATTGTGATAAATTCTAACAAGTTTTATGCCTTCATTCAATGATTTTACTTTCTGAATTTAAACAAGTATACATTTCCATAGTTGTGTGTAACTGTGGGTCATGATGTTTTCACCACTCACTACCTTTTTACTTTATTGAAAGCTTTAAATAAAGATTTTTTATTGAGGTATAATTGTCATATAATATATTAGTTCCAGGTATACAACTGAAAGGTTTTGTCTACTAAATAAACTATGATCAAGTAATAATTATTTTTACTTTAAAAGAAATCACTGTAAGATTTCTAATATTTGCTTTCGTGGAACATGAAATAATCATTCTTACCACAGTAAGCTAATAAATTACAGCCAAAGGAAAGATGTTTTCAGATAATAAAAAATAATTTTTGGAACTTAGTGGTTTACATTTAGCAATTGTCATATTTTCCTATAATGGCATTGACCTTTTCTGCTGCTATGTTTTTGTCATGATTTTGTTACCAGATTTAATTTCCATACTTTTCCCTTATAGCCTTTTGGATTCAAGGATTGTGTGTGTGTGTGTGTGTGTGTGTGTGTGTGTGTGTGTGTGAATGAATGTCTGTGTCTGTGTCTGATTCTTCAAGAAATTGAAAGGCACAACGTGGGTGAAATTGCTGCTGAATTGCAAGACCTTATAATGACAAAAAGAGAGAGAGAGAGAGAAAGGGAGGGAGGGAGGGAGGAAGGAAGGAAGGAAGGGAGAAAAAGAGAGAGGGAGAGAGAGAAAGAAGGAAGGAAGGAAGGGAGGCAGGTCCTGTTTTTCTAATGACTGACAAGTGAATAGGGTGAATAGGGGTTATAGGAACCCCTAGTTAGAAAACACGAAAATTTTAAGACTTCTAAAGAGACTAATACTAGTCTTTGTATCATGCTGATAAAGATACCAAGAGAGGAGATATTTTGACTGTATTTCATGAAATTCCGTCTTTTAACTCCCTGAAATCTTTTAGTTTATGCTGTGAAAGTTAAAGGGCAGACTGTTTTAATGCATCTATGGCCCAACAAGGGTAAGAGTGTGGATAAGTGTATTTGATGTGAAAAAAATTTTTCTTTTTCTAATAGTGGATTCCAGTGCAATAAATAATTTAAAGTGGAAAGTGTGGCAGATTTGGTTTTCAGAATTATTTGGGGACTTTTCTGGAATGCTTTCTAAAAATGTATACATGCAAAAATGATTTAACTTAGAGCAAAAATAAAGTGCCAAAAAGATTTTAAGTTATACAGGAATCTAGTATGTATGTTATATGTTTTTGTAAGAAATTAAGTTACTTGGGCTTCCCTGGTGGCGCAGTGGTTGGGAGTCCGCCTGCCGATGCGGGGGGGCGCGGGTTATAAACTATGATCAAGTAATAATTATTTTTACTTTAAAAGAAATCACTGTAAGATTTCTAATATTTGCTTTCGTGGAACATGAAATAATCATTCTTACCACAGTAAGCTAATAAATTACAGCCAAAGGAAAGATGTTTTCAGATAATAAAAAATAATTTTTGGAACTTAGTGGTTTACATTTAGCAATTGTCATATTTTCCTATAATGGCATTGACCTTTTCTGCTGCTATGTTTTTGTCATGATTTTGTTACCAGATTTAATTTCCATACTTTTCCCTTATAGCCTTTTGGATTCAAGGATTGTGTGTGTGTGTGTGTGTGTGTGTGTGTGTGTGTGTGTGTGAATGAATGTCTGTGTCTGTGTCTGATTCTTCAAGAAATTGAAAGGCACAACGTGGGTGAAATTGCTGCTGAATTGCAAGACCTTATAATGACAAAAAGAGAGAGAGAGAGAGAAAGGGAGGGAGGGAGGGAGGAAGGAAGGAAGGAAGGGAGAAAAAGAGAGAGGGAGAGAGAGAAAGAAGGAAGGAAGGAAGGGAGGCAGGTCCTGTTTTTCTAATGACTGACAAGTGAATAGGGTGAATAGGGGTTATAGGAACCCCTAGTTAGAAAACACGAAAATTTTAAGACTTCTAAAGAGACTAATACTAGTCTTTGTATCATGCTGATAAAGATACCAAGAGAGGAGATATTTTGACTGTATTTCATGAAATTCCGTCTTTTAACTCCCTGAAATCTTTTAGTTTATGCTGTGAAAGTTAAAGGGCAGACTGTTTTAATGCATCTATGGCCCAACAAGGGTAAGAGTGTGGATAAGTGTATTTGATGTGAAAAAAATTTTTCTTTTTCTAATAGTGGATTCCAGTGCAATAAATAATTTAAAGTGGAAAGTGTGGCAGATTTGGTTTTCAGAATTATTTGGGGACTTTTCTGGAATGCTTTCTAAAAATGTATACATGCAAAAATGATTTAACTTAGAGCAAAAATAAAGTGCCAAAAAGATTTTAAGTTATACAGGAATCTAGTATGTATGTTATATGTTTTTGTAAGAAATTAAGTTACTTGGGCTTCCCTGGTGGCGCAGTGGTTGGGAGTCCGCCTGCCGATGCGGGGGGGCGCGGGTTCGTGCCCCGGTCCGGGAGGATCCCACGTGCCGTGGGGCGGCTGGGCCCGTGAGCCATGGGCGCTGGGCCTGCGCGTCCGGAGCCTGTGCTCCACGGCTGGAGAGGCCACGGCAGTGAGAGGCCCGTGTACCGGCAAACAAAAAAAGAAATTAAGTTACCTGATGAAAAACACCGAGTTGGATAAAGAAGAAATTTATTCAGTTCGATAGATACTGAGTGCATGAGTGTACGATAATGCAGGTGTTGTGAGAAATGCAGAGATAAAATCACTCATTAATTCTGCCCAAAGGTTTGGTATATACTAGTATAGGTTACATTATGGTTTAGCAGATTTTGTAAGCCAGATGCATTATAGAAAATTGAGTGAAGGAGGAAAAGCCAAATTGTTTTATGTAAATAATGGCATTATAGCTGTCTTTTGTGATAGAAAGAAGTTGTTAGAAGGTGTAAATTACTCTATGATAGTGAATGAAGAAAATATTGAATTCTAGCTTATTTAAAGAAATGTACTTTTTTCGATTTTTGTTTTTACTTTCAAATATATACAAAAACTCAAATTATTTATGCCCTGGTTAATACCCTTATGGTCATTCACCTCTTTTAGAGAATATATGTTAAAAATGACTTGACTTAGCAAAAAATTATGTTTGCAAATTCAGGGGCCACTTCCTTCAAGTAATTTTTATCACCATCCTCTAGTAACATTTAAATTTAATTTTAGACCTTGTATTTAGTAGAATATACAAAGATATTCAGCAGAGCATGTGGGAATAATCACAGATTTCTAATGATAATATCTAAATTTTTAGTTTTACTAAACATATAGTGAAACTTGTTCCCTTTTAAGTTTATTCTTATCAGTTTGACAAATGAACTTGAACATACGTTATAGTCAGATACTGTAGGTCCATTTTTTAAATATCTCAAATGAGCGGTATGGTGGTGGGGTTGTTGATGCTTATCTACAATGGGCTTCACTGTGGGGCCATTTCAGTGGAAAACTTCCAGTGTTAGTACCATTGGGTCTTTTTCTTGGGGCTAGTCAGACTCTCCAGAAAACACTCTTT